ATTATCGTCACCGTAGAGCTCTGTCGCCATCTTCCAGATCTCCGTCGCCATCTTCCAGAGCTCCACCGTCATCCTCGTCGTTGCTGAATGTAGACGTCATCTTCGAAGAAGGAAGATTGATGCGGCGCGGCTCTCTAGATCAGTCAGATGCTTCGAAGATGGCTTTTGGCTTAGAAGATTTCTAATACCATTTTTTATCCTGAGATCGAGGTTCCTTGTTTGACTTGTTGCTCGTAAATATTTTACACATGCAAAAAGTAAAATTATCTTAGCAAGCATTGAGAATAAGTTTAATTCTTAATCCTCAAAAGTAATTTAATAAAACTTACAGGGTTTCAAAACCATGTGAGCTCGGGGTCACCCCATGCTCGGCAGATACTTAATACTAAAAAATTTTAGAAAACCTTCAAAAAAAATTCAAAGTTTTTAAAAATATAATCCCCAATGGTTTATATTCATCCCAAGGGAACCAAACTACAACTGACAACCATTATTTCCAGGAAACAAGCTCAACTCAAACAAATGAAGAGTCAAAACATACTAAGCTGGTTTCCCTCATGCAACAATACGAGCAAGGCCTCTTACTAGCCTAAGCCTCGTCCAACAATTGAGGGAGGGATTATTTCAAATTCATCTTTTTTAAATGGATCGACTGGGAGTAAAGATTAACACAACTTATTGATAGAGTATATGGGCCTGGACCCCATGGCCCACATACTCGACGGGCCAAAAGACACCAGCCGACACCCGCATCGGCCATAGGCGCGCGACGTCCAAGAGAGAAGACATCACCCGGATTCTTTGGGTGAAGCCCAGAATCCGCATCGTCCATGGACCGCATCGTCCATGGACCGCATCGTCCATGGACCGCATCGTCCATGGACCGCATCGTCCGAACTTCGTCCAGGCAGAATGTATTTTTCATTGTATTTACTAAGTATTGTACACAGCCCATTAGTGGCCTTATTCGCCCAAAGAAGGCATGATTATTGTAATGGGCCTCCTAAGCCCAAGGCTAGGGGCCCAAATCCACATTTTTACCTATAAATAGACCCCATGGGGCTAATTATGGGGGGTTCCAGGTTGAGAAATACAATTACTCACTCTCTCTCTCTAGCTCCCACTTCTCTCTAGAATTAATACTCTATCATTTGGTGCTTTCATTGAGAGCCTAGAACAGATCAAGTGAGTACCCTTTGTCGCTACCAGACACTACCACTAGCTATGACAAGAACTAGGTCAAAGAACACTGGTAGAAACGCCCCTCTGAACCAGGAGGGGCAGGGAAACGTTGCTGACAACGTCCCCAACGATCTCATCATCCAGGATGAGAATGCTCAGGAGGTCGAGCACGCGACGGCTGACCTTCGCGTCCAGCTCAACAGGACTGCTCCGGATGCTCGCATCGGACTTGAAGACAGACGCAATGCTGATCGCACTTCGGGCCAGCAGGCCTCTCACCCTGCTGCTCCCCAGATCAACCCGGCCGCATTATCGGCCATTGTTGCGAGCATCCTCCAGGACCCCAATGTTGTCAGCGCCCTTGTCGCAAAGACCGGGGAAAACAACACTCCTGTAACGGGGGAGGTTGCGACGGTGCCGCCGCCGCCACCTCGTCCACAAGGCGTCACCTTCTTCGGCGACCACGAGGACGTCCTCGCCGTGGACACCCACTCCCATACCGCCTCTCCTACCCGGGATACACCGGCCCAACCTCGCGGTAAAATCTCGGCCTTCAACAGGCTGGGTGACATCGCGAGCCGTCGGGTACCTACGGGAAGGGTTGCGGATCGGTTGGGTGGTCGCGAGCCGGGATCACCAAAGGAAAGCTTCGGGTCCGTTTCCCGGACAACGGATCGGCCCCAACCAGACAAAGGAAAGGGAAAGCTGAATGATGACGATGCGCGTCACCAAATCAACCTGGCCCACGCGGCCCGGATCCAGACCCCTCTGGGCGGCGCCGCGGCCAACGCGGACCCAAGGTACGATTGGTTCAACAACCTTCCGGAGGGAAGCATTGACTCATGGCAGGACCTTGCTCAACGCTTCCTCACCCACTTTGCCGGGAGGAAACGTGCGAAGAAGCATTTCGCTCATCTCCTGACCATCAAACAACAACCGGAAGAGACGCTCCGCACCTTCCTCGATCGCTGGACGAGGGAGGCGGACGAATGTGAAGGAGCCGATGAACGCACCCTCCTGGCCTTCCTCCGCGGAGCACTTCGACCGAGCCACTTCGCCCGAAGTCTATTCACAGATCCCCCGCGGTCATACCTCGCGGCGCTCCGGCGCGGAGATAGGCACGCTGATGCCGACGAGCTCCTGAGCCAGAAGAAGGGTGGGGAGAAGCAACAGAAGAAGGACTCCTCGTCCAACCCCCACCACGTGCCGGCCAACAAAGGACAGAACCAGCCAAAGAAGGCGCACCAGGAGCAGGGTGGACAGCGAAGAGAAGATCGTTCATGGCGTCCAAAGTTGGAGGCACAACGCATCCCCCTCACCCACCCGGTGAGCGTCGTCCTTGACCACGCCGAGGCGCAGGGCCTCATTGTGAAGGACCCCAGGTCAGAGGAGGAGATATTTGCGGTCCACAAAGGAGGAACATACTGCAAGTACCACCGCCAGATGTCACGCCCCGGACCTATCCGGACACGTCAACAATCCGCCGTACAGTACGAATGGTCAACCGCAGTCCAACACATCCATATTATACAAGGCGTCTGGAATATCATTCACACATAGTACATCCATAAACAACATAATGTAAAATATTCACTTAAAACAATGGAAGCATTCAATACAAGTGTGCATGCCACACTTTGGCAACATGGGCTTACAAGCCCTAAATAAATATTTAAAAATAATAATATCCATGAGCATTATTCAAAATGTTTTCAAAACAGGAACGGAAGAAGCACGAACCACGTCTCCCTCCTTTGATCTTCCCGAAGCAACGGGCGGTGGTAGCAACCTTCAAGTTCTACCTGAAACTGTGAGGTGGCCTCCCCCGTGAAGGGGAGGTCAGTACTTGGAAGCATTTGACAAGTACAATGACAACTATACTAAGTATAATCAAAGTTTCAATTTTCAAGACCCTAAGTCTAGGGTGCTATTATTTATATTAAATTCACGTTCCTTCATGCTAGAGCTCGGCTCATAGTCATCCTAATTTGTGCTAGAGCTCGGCTCATAGTCACGCTACATTTTGCTAGAGCTCGGCTCATAGTCATACTAATTTGTGCTAGAGCTCGGCTCATAGTCACACTACATTTTGCTAGAGCTCGGCTCATAGTCATACTACATTTCGCTAGAGCTCGGCTCATAGTCATACTACCACGTGCTAGAGCTCGGCTCATAGTCACGTCATCTAATCCCTAAACCGCTTCTTAGTCTAGGCTCCATCCATTTTGAGTAACCCTTAAGGCCTACTCCTAATGTAACTTGACTTCATAAAGTCCACCTTAAAAATATCCTTTAAGGTTATTTGACTCCAATATCTTGGGATTAGCTCCCAAGAACTATTGAACTTACCTTCCCGACTAGTATTTCCATACTAGTTGTTTAATCTTAATAAACCAATGCAATTTCATAATAATTCGTATATTTCAACTAAATTTCACATTCAAGTATAATTTGGCTTTAATATCAAAATATCACTTTTATCCTTCCATGACTTCCTTACATGAGATAAAAGTATATTTATCACAATTTAAATTTATAGTTTACACACTATTATACCATTGTATTCATAACACATAATCATACACAATTTATTCATAAATTTGTATATTATGCATTTTTGCTTATAATCAATAATAATCTCATTTAGGCATTTTTCTATTATAAATAAATCATGCCAAACACATATAATTCATTTAGGTAATCTTATGAAATTAACCCAATAATTATAAGCAATATAGTCGGTCATCCTCACCTTAAGTGAGCTTAAGCGCGATCTACGCTCCCCCGGTTGAACTTTGACTAATTTCCGGTGAACTTTGACCAAATCCGGCGAACGTTGACCAACTCCGGCGAAACTCCGGCGAAGCTCAAAAATACTTTAATCAAGTTCCTAACAAGGTTTTAACATCATAAAACCTTAATCAATACAAATAACCTATAAAAGGTTATTTTCCGGTGAACTTGTCGGTTTGGCCCCTAAGTCCGTTTTTGGACATAGAACCACCTTCCAACCCATCATTCTACACTTAAGTCATGTAGAACAATCCCCAAGGTTCTTCATATGATATACATCACATATGGTAGGAGAAAAATAAAGGAAAAGTTATGATAAGGCCATTACCTCAACTTTTCTCACTTTTTCCTAGCTTTTTCCTTCTCAAACACCTTCTTTGGACTACCTCCTTCTTGAGCTCGTGCAGCAGCAATGGAGTATGGCTTGAGGACTTTCTCTCCCTCCTCTCTTGATGGGTTGGCCGAAATAATGCAAAGGGAAAGAGGTGGGGGTGTTCCTTTGTCTCTTTTGGCAAATGAGTGAGGTCAAAGGCCCCCTTTGCACCTCCTCCACTTATTTCCTTGTCAACCCAGCCCTCCCCTTGTCTAATTCAACACATAAAACGTGGGGTGGCCCCCACTCATGTGGGAGGTCATCCCCTTGTGTCCTGATGTGTACAATTGGTCCCAAAAGTTGTATTTTTCGGACTGTTTTAAAATACATTTTATTTCATCGGGTCAAATAAAATACATTACGTGTTTCCAATAATTATGACCCTTATAATGAATATACATTCCCAAACTTTAATTTATAAGTCCCCGAAATTCAATTTCGGGCTTTTATCGGTTAAATTATCAATACCGATATTTGGGCCTCTTTGGCCAATCGGTCAATTCGGGGCCTTTCCACGGACCAAATGAAGTATCCACCACCATCTAAATGTTATCTAGACCAAGATGAATAAAATATGGGGTCTCGGGAATATCGGGCGGTCCCCGCTCTCGGTGTGGGCCCCACGTGCGAATTCACTATTCACGCAAGAGAATAATTGAAATTCACCACTTCGAATATTCATTAACCACTCCATAAGGTTAAATACATTATTCACTTAAAAGTAAAATACATCTGGGGACGGTGTTACAAGTTCACCCCCCCTTATTTGGGATTTCGTCCCCGAAATCCACGTGTCTAATCGAAAAGAAACGGGTATTGCTCCCTCATTGAGACCTCAGTCTCCCAGGTTTCTTCTTCGACTCGATCACTCCTCCAAAGAACCTTTACCATAGGAATCTCCTTGTTCCTCAGTTTCTTCACCTGTTGACCCATAATCTTTACCGGTTCCACCGCATATTGTAGATCTTCACGTATCTCCACCGGTGGCTTCTCAAGAATATGAGATGGATCTCTCACGTATTTCTTGAGCATCGATACATGAAACACGTCGTGTATCTTCTCAAGTTCTGGCGTCAACTTGAGACGGTATGCCACAGCCCCTATCCTTTCAAGGATTTCAAATGGACCAATGTATCTGGGGTTAAGCTTTCCCCTCGATATAAATCGGATGATACCCTTCCAAGGAGAAATCCTTAGGAAGACCTTATCACCGACCTCGAACTCCAATGGCCTGCGTCGTTTGTCGGCATAACTCTTCTGCCGATCTTGGGCAGCCTTAAGTCTATCCTGAATGACCTTCACCTTAGCCTTGGTGATTTCAACAAGTTCAATCCCTTCGAGCTTGGCCTCGCCAACCTCGTCCCAACACAACGGTGTTCTGCATTTCCTCCCATACAATGCCTCGTATGGAGGCATGCCAATACTCGCCTGATAACTGTTGTTATAGGCAAACTCAACTAGAGCCAAATGCTTGTCCCAACTTCCTTGGAACTCCAAAGCACATGCCCTAAGCATATCTTCCAGAATCTGTATCACTCTCTCAGATTGTCCATCCGTCTGCGGATGAAAAGCTGTGCTAAACTTCAGTTTAGTACCCAAAGATGCTTGAAACTTGGGCCAAAACCGAGATGTGAATCGTGGATCCCTATCCGAGACAATGGATATCGGGACTCCATGTAGTCTCACAATCTCCTCCGTGTATAGCTTTGCCAATCTTTTAAGAGGATAAGTAATGTTGATAGGCAAAAAGTGTGCACTCTTGGTGAGCCTATCAACCACTACCCATACTGCATCGTAGTTGTTCACTGTTCGTGGTAGCCCCAACACGAAGTCCATGGTCACATGTTCCCACTTCCATTCCGGAATGGTCAGTGGCTGCAAAAGCCCTGTCGGGTGCTGGTGCTCCGCCTTAACTTGCTGGCAAGTAAGGCATCGGCTCACGTACTCTGCGATATCCCTCTTCATACCCGACCACCAGTAACTTTCCTTCAAGTCTCGGTACATTTTAGTACCTCCTGGATGCATAGCATATGCCGAAGAATGAGCCTCCTCTAGTATAGACTTTTGGAGCTCCTCACTCTTTGGTATGCATACCCGGTCCTTAAACAGTAAAAGACCGTCATCACGTACTCGAAAGTTCTCCACGGGCCCTTCAAGGATCCTCTCCCGGATCTTCTGACATTCTTCATCAATGGCCTGACATCTACTGATCTCACCCAGCAATGTAGGTCTAACCTCGAATCTAGCAATGAGGACCCCACTCGTGGACACCTCCACTTGTGCCCTCAAAGTTCGTAGACATGTGAGTAATGTCCCCGACGTACCCTTCCTGCTCGATCAGTGCATCAGCCACTACATTGGCCTTTCCGGGATGATAGTCGATGATCAAGTCATAGTCCTTGATCAACTCCATCCATCTCCTTTGCCTCATATTCAACTCTTTCTGAGTGAATACGTACTTCAAGCTCTTATGATCGGTAAAAATGTGACATGTCTCCCCATAGAGGTAATGCCTCCAAATCTTCAGTGCAAACACTACCGCCCCCAACTCTAGATCGTGGGTAGGGTAGTTCGCCTCGTGTTTCTTCAATTGCCTAGACGCATAGGCAATCACCCGACCGTTTTGCATTAGTACGCATCCAAGCCCTTGGATGCTAGCATCACTGTATATGTCATACCCTATCCCTTGTGTGGGTAGAGCGAGAACCGGTGCTTCCGTAAGCCGTTTCTTTAGTTCGAGAAAGCCTTTCTCACAATTGTCGTCCCATATGAACTTGGCCCCTTTCTTCGTGAGCTTTGTTAATGGAGACGCCAATACGGAAATTTTTTCAACAAACTTACGATAGTATCCCGCTAAGTCAAGGAAACTACGTATCTCTTTCACATTTTTGGGTCTCTCCCAATTCATAATGGCTTCTATCTTGGCTTTATCCACCAAAATGCCCGAACTTGACACGACATGCCCGAGAAACCCAATCTCTTTGAGCCAGAACTCGCATTTAGAGAACTTGGCAAAGAGTTGTTTTTCCCTTAGCCGTTCAAGTACAAGACTCAAATGATCTTCATGCTCCTCTTCACTCTTGGAGTATATCAAAATGTCGTCAATGAATACTATCACAAATTGGTCTAAATATTCACTGAACACACGGTTCATCATGTCCATGAATGCCGCCGGGGCGTTGGTTAGACCAAACGACATCACCAAAAACTCGTAGTGACCATATCTAGTGCGAAATGCACTCTTAGGTATGTCACTCGCCTTTATCTTCAACTGATGATACCCCGACCTTAAATCAATCTTCGAGAATACCGTTGCCCCTCGAAGTTGATCGAACAAGTCATCAATCCTCGGTAAAGGATACCTGTTCTTGATTGTGACCTTGTTTAGCTGTCGATAGTCTATACACATTCTTAGTGTACCATCTTTCTTCTTTACGAAGAGTACGGGTGCTCCCCACGGTGAATGACTGGGTCTAATGAACCCGTTGTCCAATAGCTCTTGGAGTTGAACCTTCAACTCTTGAAGCTCGGCCGGTGCCATTCGATAAGGAGGAATCGAAATGGGTTTGGTTCCCGGCTCCACTTCAATCACGAATTCGATCTCTCTGTCGGGTGGAAGCCCCGGCAAGTCTTTGGGAAAGACATCCGGATATTTGCACACGACACGTACATCGTTGATGTCAACCTCCTTCTTTGCTTCATCCACCACATAAGCGAGGTATGCATGGCATCCCTTCCTCATCATCTTCCGTGCCCTCATCACGGACATTATACAACTATGAGATCCGCCCCGATCTCCCTCGAAACGTAGAGTGTTTCCCTCAGCATCCTCGAGTTCCAAAACCTTGGCATAACAATCCACTCGAGCATGATGTTTCTCGAGCCAATCCATCCCTAGTATTGCATCGAATTCTAACATACTTAGAGGTACGAAGTTGATAACCGCTTTCGCGGTGTTGTAGTAAAACGGAGTTTAACCCTTCCGGATGGAAAAGTTTATCCCCGAGTATCGTGTCTCTGAGGAGTGGCGGAGGGAAGTATTGGTTTCAATATCAGTCACCGGTTAGTACGAGTCGTTGCAAGCTTTCTCAAACGATTAATTGTGATAATGATTAAGAAAATAAAATTAAACAACAAAAGTAGTAACTGAGAATTTAATTAAATTACATTAATGAGTAAACTAAAACTAGTGAACATGCAAAATAACTCGAGAGAGAAAATTAACGAATAAAAATATTAAACTAACAAACATATGGATGAGTAAAGTTTCGAAAATAAAATATTAGAAGTAAATTCAATGTGACTAGTGACAATAAATTAACTAATTAAAAGTGGGGTCTAGATTTGGGATTAAGAATTTTGGTTGTCTTTTATAATGAATAAAAAATGGGAAATTTTCACCAATCTAGAGATACTAAAATATCAATTCTCATAGACAAGAAATTAATATTAATTCCCTAACATGTCCTATTTCTAGGCTTAGTTTAGGGTGTGTGAGATGTGGTCTAAAATTAATTCTTAAACTCATGGACAAGAAAGAGTTAATTTTCTAAAATTAACAAGTGAAGTGATCAATTTCACAAATTACTTTTTCAATTTCATCTCAAACAACTAGTCCTAAAGTTGGAGACTTTTCCCAAATTCAATTCAATATCCAAGAACACCCATTAGCCTTAATTTAACCAAATCCAAACCCCATGGAAATTTAGCCTAACATGATTATCAAGAAACTAAGACAATTAATTAAAGAGCTAGAGTAATTTGTAGATGAAATTAAACAGTAAATAAACATCATTAACAACTCAAATATCCAAATAAACAGAAATTCGGAGTTTGAAATAATACAGGGATAAAAACTTGAAGCTTATTGAAGTTTATATCTAAAGACAAATCAAGCATAGAACATTTAGGACTGAAATTGAATACAAATTATAGAAACCATAACTTCTTAGCAGTTGATATCTCACATTAACCTCCGATTGCATCTGATATCTGCTGCGTTTTTCTGGAGTTCTTGCCGCTGAGTGAAACTCCCTTGCGGCTGAGAGCTGAGGGTCTGGACTGAATTGTTCGCATCTCTGTCCAGAGCTACTTGCGGCTACCCAGGCTGAGTGATTGCAGTTGGTTGCCTATCTAGTCCTGCTCTCTTTTCTTTCCTTGAAGCTGCCCTTTTTGTTCTTTTCTTTGATAGTCCAAAAGATGGGACTCCACACGACCACACCCTCCTGTTGTTTTGTTGGCAACTCTCCATCTTATCTCATTTTCTTTTCTTTTCTTTTTGTTTCTTTTTCATTTTCTTTAATTTTTTTGTTTGTTTTCTTTTTCTTCACGCAGCGTAGCTGCAGTTTTTTTTCTTTTGATTAATTAATGTGCCTCATTTGCTCATTTGTTTATTGCATTAATAATAAAAGAGCATTGAAAAACAAAATTTGACAAACTACAAAATATAAATCACACAAGTGAAAAACAAACACAAAAACAACCCAAACACTTCAACTAAGCACAAATCACTAAAAATGTAAATTTCATCGCTAATTTCAAACATTAACAAAAATGCAATAAAAATGCAGAAAAATGTTTCAATTTGCCCTGAGTTTAACAAGAAACACTATAAAAAGTGAGTGAAAATATATGAACAAATCACACTTATCAGAAGTCACAAGTCAAAGGTTGACCCGTCACTTCTACCTCACACGAAGGATAGTAGTGTTTCCTCTCCACATCGTCTCCCAACGGTGTAGAGACCAACAAGGGTTGTGTCATTACTATCAACGGCAAGTCTAAACTTTCGGCAAACGCTTCACTCACGAATGAACGTTGTGCCCCGGTATCAATGAGAATTCTTGCGTTTCTACCATTGATCTTTAATGTTCCTACATATATAAGTCATGTAAGACACACCACCCAACGTACCGGATCGAAACGGGGCTTAACAAAAACATTTCGGGTGAAAATACACTGGACCGGCGCCAGTTTTAGGCAAGACCGGCGCCGGTTTGCCTTCGGGGTGGCCGGATTCACGCAAATTAAACTGGACCGGCGCCGGTTATGGCCAAAACCGGCGCCGGTTGACCTTCGGTCACCTTCGAAAAAAGTTTTTTTTTCTCCAAAACCGGCCCCGGTTACGAGCACGGTGATTTTTCCGACCCCCTTTTCCCCTAGACCGGCGCCGGTTATGGGCAAAACCGGCGCCGGTTTTGCTACGGCGTCCCCGGAAAATGAAATTTTTATAAGCCAAGTCCCCCCGACCCTTGGCCGGCGCCGGTTATGGGCCAAAACCGGCGCCGGTTGACCCACGGCAACCTCAAAACAAAGGTTTTTAATTAGAACCGGCGCCGGTTTAAGCCTCGACCAGCGCCGGTTTACCCCTGGGCAGTTAATTTTTGCAACTTTTTGCTAGGAAACCGGCCGGTATCGGCCCCGGCCAGCCCGTACAAACCCGCTATCACTTTTAGCACTCAATACATGTAATTTATCAATCGTCACAAAGGGTTACCTGCAACGGAGTCGGGATCAGCCCGAGCGTCAGCCTCGGTCATCGCATAGACTCTAGCTTGAGTCCTCCCTTGATTTACGGACGGCGCGTTGCTCGTGCTCGCTCCCCCTTGCCCCGCACTAGCATGGGGTGCCCCGGTTCGGCTCCTACTCGCCGTGGTGGCGCCGCTTGATCCCGCCCCTCGGTTCCCACCAAGTTGAGGGCAATTTGGTTTAATATGCCCTGTACTCACGCATTGGAAGCACCGTGGTGGATCACGACACTTACCGGCGTGGCTCCTGTTGCAATTCCTGCACCTGGGCGTCGTTGAGGCTTGTGAGCCCGAGTTGTGCCCGCTGAAGGCCGGGTTCCCCTTGGATGGCGGTGCCGGTGCTCTGAACGATCCACCTCCCCCATGGTTCCCCTTTTTGTTAGAACCTTGGGGGCCATGGTTCTCCCACTTCCTCTTCTTCGCCTCATCGGCGTCTCTCTTCTTTCTCTCTTCCCATTGCTTCTCTCCTTTCAACCCTTGGGCAACCACTTGGCTGAAAGTCATGTTGGGCAATTGAGTCGCCCTATCACGTATCTCCAAGTCCAAGGCCTCCCAAAAGTGATTCACCATTCGGTTTTCATCACAAGCATACTCCGGTATGTGGTCGGCAAGGTCCCTGAACTTGTGCTCAAGTTCTTTCACCGTCATGTTACCCCCTTGGGTTAGAAGAGTGTATTCTCTCACCTTGGCATTTACCTCAAAGTCTGAGTAGTATTGGGCAAAGAATTCTTGCCGAAAATCCTCCCAAGTAACATTCCCTCCATACTTGCCCTTGGTTCCATCCCACCACTTGGATGCCAACCCTTCAAGTAACCTCACCGCGATTCTCAGTTTGAAATCGGGGGTGAGTTGCATGTCAAGGGCTGCCTCGTTCAGCCTCTTGATCCATTGCGCGGCCACCGAGATGTCCCCCGTTCCATCGAACGGTTTGCACCCCAAGTCCCTCGCCTCTTTGATGTATTTGGAGATCCTTATGGTTGGACCTCCATCACCTCGACTCCCATGCGCTTCCACATGGGTTCTTGAATCACAATAGCTCTTTCCTCTTGGAGCCCCACCCGAAGGTTGCCCCGCACGGCGCCTCCGGCGTTCCCTTCTTTCTTCGCGCTCCCGATGGTATTGTTGGAGCAGCGCTTCAATCCTAGCCAAGGAGCCATTTTCCTCCTCGTCACTAATATCGTCGTCATCCCCTTCATAAGGGGTCTCAACCGGCTCAGTTTCCGGCCGGTAGGTTGAGTCCTCATAAGACCAATAGGTCTCACTCTCCGTGTCAACGTGGCCATCGCTCACGGTTTGATGTTGGCCTCCACGGCCCCTTCCTCTTGATCCCCTAGTGGACCCCCGGCTACCGCGCTCGGATCCACCCGGTACACGGCCCGTCGGGTTCCTCCTAGTGACCCTTCCGATTGACTCCATTTCTGAAAGGAAGTAGAATGAGTCATTAGACTCGTATCAATGTCAAGTGACGGATAGGTACTTAAAGACATCCTTTGGCTCAAATCACCGCCATACCAATTGTTAAGGGTACCATCTTAACAATTAGAGACTTTGCAACTCAAGTACCAAAAGTTCTATAAGTACAAAACTTTTATGCTCATGGTTTTCAAATTCGTTTTCAAAAGAGATTTTGAAGCTTCATTATGAAGTTTACGGACTAAGTCTCTGATACCAATTAAATTGTCACGCCCCGGACCTATCCGGACACGTCAACAATCCGCCATACAGTACGAATGGTCAACCGCAGTCCAACACATCCATATTATACAAGGCGTCTGGAATATCATTCACACATAGTACATCCATAAACAACATAATGTAAAATATTCACTTAAAACAATGGAAGCATTCAATACAAGTGTGCATGCCACACTTTGGCAACATGGGCTTACAAGCCCTAAATAAATATTTAAAAATAATAATATCCATGAGCATTATTCAAAATGTTTTCAAAACAGGAACGGAAGAAGCACGAACCACGTCTCCCTCCTTTGATCTTCCCGAAGCAACGGGCGGTGGTAGCAACCTTCAAGTTCTACCTGAAACTGTGAGGTGGCCTCCCCCGTGAAGGGGAGGTCAGTACTTGGAAGCATTTGACAAGTACAATGACAACTATACTAAGTATAATCAAAGTTTCAATTTTCAAGACCCTAAGTCTAGGGTGCTATTATTTATATTAAATTCACGTTCCTTCATGCTAGAGCTCGGCTCATAGTCATCCTAATTTGTGCTAGAGCTCGGCTCATAGTCACGCTACATTTTGCTAGAGCTCGGCTCATAGTCATACTAATTTGTGCTAGAGCTCGGCTCATAGTCACACTACATTTTGCTAGAGCTCGGCTCATAGTCATACTACATTTCGCTAGAGCTCGGCTCATAGTCATACTACCACGTGCTAGAGCTCGGCTCATAGTCACGTCATCTAATCCCTAAACCGCTTCTTAGTCTAGGCTCCATCCATTTTGAGTAACCCTTAAGGCCTACTCCTAATGTAACTTGACTTCATAAAGTCCACCTTAAAAATATCCTTTAAGGTTATTTGACTCCAATATCTTGGGATTAGCTCCCAAGAACTATTGAACTTACCTTCCCGACTAGTATTTCCATACTAGTTGTTTAATCTTAATAAACCAATGCAATTTCATAATAATTCGTATATTTCAACTAAATTTCACATTCAAGTATAATTTGGCTTTAATATCAAAATATCACTTTTATCCTTCCATGACTTCCTTACATGAGATAAAAGTATATTTATCACAATTTAAATTTATAGTTTACACACTATTATACCATTGTATTCATAACACATAATCATACACAATTTATTCATAAATTTGTATATTATGCATTTTTGCTTATAATCAATAATAATCTCATTTAGGCATTTTTCTATTATAAATAAATCATGCCAAACACATATAATTCATTTAGGTAATCTTATGAAATTAACCCAATAATTATAAGCAATATAGTCGGTCATCCTCACCTTAAGTGAGCTTAAGCGCGATCTACGCTCCCCCGGTTGAACTTTGACTAATTTCCGGTGAACTTTGACCAAATCCGGCGAACGTTGACCAACTCCGGCGAAACTCCGGCGAAGCTCAAAAATACTTTAATCAAGTTCCTAACAAGGTTTTAACATCATAAAACCTTAATCAATACAAATAACCTATAAAAGGTTATTTTCCGGTGAACTTGTCGGTTTGGCCCCTAAGTCCGTTTTTGGACATAGAACCACCTTCCAACCCATCATTCTACACTTAAGTCATGTAGAACAATCCCCAAGGTTCTTCATATGATATACATCACATATGGTAGGAGAAAAATAAAGGAAAAGTTATGATAAGGCCATTACCTCAACTTTTCTCACTTTTTCCTAGCTTTTTCCTTCTCAAACACCTTCTTTGGACTACCTCCTTCTTGAGCTCGTGCAGCAGCAATGGAGTATGGCTTGAGGACTTTCTCTCCCTCCTCTCTTGATGGGTTGGCCGAAATAATGCAAAGGGAAAGAGGTGGGGGTGTTCCTTTGTCTCTTTTGGCAAATGAGTGAGGTCAAAGGCCCCCTTTGCACCTCCTCCACTTATTTCCTTGTCAACCCAGCCCTCCCCTTGTCTAATTCAACACATAAAACGTGGGGTGGCCCCCACTCATGTGGGAGGTCATCCCCTTGTGTCCTGATGTGTACAATTGGTCCCAAAAGTTGTATTTTTCGGACTGTTTTAAAATACATTTTATTTCATCGGGTCAAATAAAATACATTACGTGTTTCCAATAATTATGACCCTTATAATGAATATACATTCCCAAACTTTAATTTATAAGTCCCCGAAATTCAATTTCGGGCTTTTATCGGTTAAATTATCAATACCGATATTTGGGCCTCTTTGGCCAATCGGTCAATTCGGGGCCTTTCCACGGACCAAATGAAGTATCCACCACCATCTAAATGTTATCTAGACCAAGATGAATAAAATATGGGGTCTCGGGAATATCGGGCGGTCCCCGCTCTCGGTGTGGGCCCCACGTGCGAATTCACTATTCACGCAAGAGAATAATTGAAATTCACCACTTCGAATATTCATTAACCACTCCATAAGGTTAAATACATTATTCACTTAAAAGTAAAATACATCTGGGGACGGTGTTACAAGTTCACCCCCCCTTATTTGGGATTTCGTCCCCGAAATCCACGTGTCTAATCGAAAAGAAACGGGTATTGCTCCCTCATTGAGACCTCAGTCTCCCAGGTTTCTTCTTCGACTCGATCACTCCTCCAAAGAACCTTTACCATAGGAATCTCCTTGTTCCTCAGTTTCTTCACCTGTTGACCCATAATCTTTACCGGTTCCACCGCATATTGTAGATCTTCACGTATCTCCACCGGTGGCTTCTCAAGAATATGAGATGGATCTCTCACGTATTTCTTGAGCATCGATACATGAAACACGTCGTGTATCTTCTCAAGTTCTGGCGTCAACTTGAGACGGTATGCCACAGCCCCTATCCTTTCAAGGATTTCAAATGGACCAATGTATCTGGGGTTAAGCTTTCCCCTCGATATAAATCGGATGATACCCTTCCAAGGAGAAATCCTTAGGAAGACCTTATCACCGACCTCGAACTCCAATGGCCTGCGTCGTTTGTCGGCATAACTCTTCTGCCGATCTTGGGCAGCCTTAAGTCTATCCTGAATGACCTTCACCTTAGCCTTGGTGATTTCAACAAGTTCAATCCCTTCGAGCTTGGCCTCGCCAACCTCGTCCCAACACAACGGTGTTCTGCATTTCCTCCCATACAATGCCTCGTATGGAGGCATGCCAATACTCGCCTGATAACTGTTGTTATAGGCAAACTCAACTAGAGCCAAATGCTTGTCCCAACTTCCTTGGAACTCCAAAGCACATGCCCTAAGCATATCTTCCAGAATCTGTATCACTCTCTCAGATTGTCTGTAACACCCCCATTTTCCCTCCCAAAATAATACTTGAAATAATAGATTTATTGATAATAACTTGATTTATTCTTTCAAACAGATAAAAAGTTTTGCAGCGGAAATAACATTAATTGGGAAATGGGTGTTACCGCCACATCCGGTCATCTCTTAACCGAATGCACAGGCAATCACCAAACAAAGTAAAACAAGTGTTCAACATAATTGGATTGTTTATTTATGACTAGGTTTGACTAAGGCATCTCTAAACCGCTCTCGTGGTCATACAATCATCAGTCCACATAAGCATCATCACCTGCACAAATAAAGTGCAGAAAACAAAACAGGGAAAAAGAAACAAAAATTAGCTTTAGAGCTAAGTAAGTACTACCCAACCCCGTAAAATAATCAGGTTTGGCTAAAAATAGTTTTTCATATAATACTATATAAAAATGACACACTCCACCAAAATCCTTTTCTCTTTGATATTTCTCAAAATCACTTCTTTAATAAAGTCCTCAACTTTTCTTTGAAAATACTATAGTAACTCTTCTCTTAGAATTTCTCAAAATTCACTTCTTCTCTATCTTCCTAATAATTTAGAAGGGCGGTGCTCAACCTTTCGACTGAGCCCGGTGGACCGTGGTTACGGACGGCCACCCCGAACAAGTGCCGGTACCACAACTGCTCTTGCGGAAACGAAACGACTACCTTAAGTGTGCACACCCCCTAAAAGGGATTCCAAGCCCTCCGAGTAGTAAGTCGTCACGAGTAATCGGGACTCAGTCTACCAACTACCCCTGAATAAGATATCTTTGAATGATTAGGAACTACTACTACAACTCTGCTTCTTAAAAGGGATCATCGATCCAATTATCACTCAAAACTTATCCTCACCCTTAGCAGTAGCAGCCCTTTTACGTCGGAACTACTACTACTACCACAACTCTCCTTCTTAAAAGGGATCATCGATCCGAAAGTTACTCAAAAATCTCTTCTTAGTAGTAGCCCTAACCACTCTCCACATTTTAAGGGACGTGGAAAACCAACACCTCGGATTACTCCCGAGATGCCTACCTCTTATGAAATCATTCTTTTATCTTGAATTAATATACTTCAAAATATTCCTCAATTTCTCAAACTGCCTCAAAATGTTTAAATAAAATATTTAATACCCAAGAGCATTTAGTTTCACTTCTCAAATATCACAGATCCAACAATCTCAAAATCTCGTACATATACATCATAACTCACATTAAAATCATGTATCACATAATACATATATAATACGAGGAAACGATTTTGGATCGGCAGAGAAACTTACCTCAAATTTGATGCTTCTAATTCTCCTCCTCTATTCTTGTCTCAAAATAATCACCTTTTTAATTAAGACGATACAATCAGTCACTTATTCTATTAAAAATTTATCTGATTTCCTTCTTTTGTTTTATTATTGGGATTTAGGTTATCTGTTAATTATCAATTAACCACTTTTATTAATCTTACCACTTTGCTTATAATTACTTCAATTGGTCCGAATTAAAATAGTCTGCATATCATACCTTAAATTTTATAAACAATCTGAATCATAATATAAGGTTAAATATTCGAACTTCTTTAATGATATTTTAATATTATTAAATTGGTCCAAGTTACATATTTGTCTAAATAATGATTTCACTCTATTTCATATAATTCATTCGGTGCTTAACATAACTCAAATCCACCTAATTATAATTTCGTAACTAATTTAATCATTGAATTGCACTTTGAATTTAACTGATTGAGATAATAACAATAATAATTAATTTGTTTAATATCAACAGTCCATTAGTTTTTCTATTATGAAATTATCTCAATCAAAAGTGACAAATTTATCCAAGTAATTACTACCAATCAAGCCAATTTCTTCATTAATATTTCTCATCTCGATTTTATCCATTTTGCAGATTATAATTATTATTATTATTATTATTATTGTTATTATTATTATTACTACTACTACTTAGGAGTCTTGGCCCAAAAATAAAAATGAAAACTCCTGGCCCAAACGGCCCAATCTTCTAAGAGAGAAAGAAAAAAAAAATGTGTACACTTCTTCTTCCTCGATCATGAACTCGAGAAAACGAGCTAGGCAGGGGAAAGGGGGTTACCTCGACGGATTCGTGATACGGTGGTGGTAGAAGGCTCGTTTGGGGACGGCGAAGGTCGGTGATGGGTTGGCGGCAGCGGCAGCTCCTCCTTCTTCTCCGTTTTCCATCTTTACGGTTAGCCCGGCGGAACTCCGGCAAGCTCGTTCTCCGTCGTTTCACGATCGTTTTCAACGATTCTTTCACCGTTGGATTCCTCTCGAGAAGGGGAAGGTCTCTATAGTGTTTTCACGGCTCGGTTTTGTCTAAAACGAAGGGTCGAAATTTGTGTATATGTATATATATATGTATATACGTACAAGTAGTATATATATATACACGTATATGTATATATATATGTCGCAGGTTTGGGGATGAAGAGAGCTGAAGGCCTGTTCTTGCTTATTTATACTATGAGGTTGGAGGTTGTAGCTACGAACAATCCATGTGAGTTTAGGTTGGCAATAAGCTTGCTTCAACATATTCATGTGCGTGAATGTGTATTTCTTGTTCCCATACATTGGTCCATTGTGTGTAGGTGGGTTTTGGTCCCCTTCGGTCAACTCTTGTTTGATACAATGTACTCCCTCCCTCCCGCTATGATTGTCCCATTTTACCATTTCGGTCCGTCCCATTAAAATTGTCTCATACCTTTTTTTTTTTTTTTTGTAAAGTTCGTGTGATTCTAAATCATTCCTACTTTATTCTTACTTTATCAATTCAGTATAAATTCATTTTTATTAATAACCGTGTCAACTTCTCTTGTCCCAAATTTAGGGGGACGGAGTAGTACTAGTATATGATTTAGCCCCAACATTTTCATGTGTGTACGTAGCATTATTTATATGATTATTTGTGTGTGTGTGTTACAATACATTTTGTACAAATAAATGACTCTTGCATTGAAATGACAATTTTATTATTTATGTTATATGTATAATTATTACTTGTTACAAAACTGTCACTTTTGCTATTTAAGTCGAGGTCTCGACATAATCATTATAAGATGTCACTTTTATTATTGAAACATTTTTTTATCTGGTTAAAGATGTCACTGATGCTAAGATTTTATCTGATTCACTTGATTATAAGAAAAATCACTTTCATAATATTTTGCTAACCAATAAAATTTATTTATTTTATTTTATTAAATTTTTCGAAGTGTCACATTCTACCCTCCTTAAAAGATGTTTCGTCTCGAAACATAAACTAAAGAAACTTTATCCACAAATGAATACCACATCTTAGTTAATACGAAGTATTAATATTTTTTTTTTTAAATTTATGGAGTGTCACATTCTACCCTCCTTGAAAGAATGCTTCGTCCCTGAAGCATATATAATCCTAAAATTTCATAGGACACTCTTACTATCTCTCCTTTTTTTTTCCCACAAAATCAAACACATAGGAGCAAATGTGCCCATACGACATCATAGATTTCTCGTCACTAGTTTTAAGTCTTTCCTAGACATGTATATAGGAATATAGCACAAATGTGCCTATTTCAAATTAATATCAAGTTCCAAAAAAAAATATAAATCTCACAATCTCACCACGATCCTAAATTTAATATTTCCTTAGTCCAATTATTATTCCTAAGTTTACTGTTTTTTTTTTTCTGTAAAAAGTTTTTGGAAATCTGTCATAAGCTTTTTAAAATAACATTTAGAAATAAACTTCTTGGAAAATTTCATATGTTTTAGAAAATATAGCTCTAAAACAATTTTAGAAAATCCGAAAAAATGTTATAAAATCTTTTGAAAACCACATTCACTTAATTTTTTTTTTTGAAAATCCCCAGTAAAAAAATCAAAGGGCTCTGATACCAATTTGTAACACCCCCATTTTCCCTCCCAAAATAATACTTGAAATAATAGATTTATTGATAATAACTTGATTTATTCTTTCAAACAGATAAAAAGTTTTGCAGCGGAAATAACATTAATTGGGAAATGGGTGTTACCGCCACATCCGGTCATCTCTTAACCGAATGCACAGGCAATCACCAAACAAAGTAAAACAAGTGTTCAACATAATTGGATTGTTTATTTATGACTAGGTTTGACTAAGGCATCTCTAAACCGCTCTCGTGGTCATACAATCATCAGTCCACATAAGCATCATCACCTGCACAAATAAAGTGCAGAAAACAAAACAGGGAAAAAGAAACAAAAATTAGCTTTAGAGCTAAGTAAGTACTACCCAACCCCGTAAAATAATCAGGTTTGGCTAAAAATAGTTTTTCATATAATACTATATAAAAATGACACACTCCACCAAAATCCTTTTCTCTTTGATATTTCTCAAAATCACTTCTTTAATAAAGTCCTCAACTTTTCTTTGAAAATACTATAGTAACTCTTCTCTTAGAATTTCTCAAAATTCACTTCTTCTCTATCTTCCTAATAATTTAGAAGGGCGGTGCTCAACCTTTCGACTGAGCCCGGTGGACCGTGGTTACGGACGGCCACCCCGAACAAGTGCCGGTACCACAACTGCTCTTGCGGAAACGAAACGACTACCTTAAGTGTGCACACCCCCTAAAAGGGATTCCAAGCCCTCCGAGTAGTAAGTCGTCACGAGTAATCGGGACTCAGTCTACCAACTACCCCTGAATAAGATATCTTTGAATGATTAGGAACTACTACTACAACTCTGCTTCTTAAAAGGGATCATCGATCCAATTATCACTCAAAACTTATCCTCACCCTTAGCAGTAGCAGCCCTTTTACGTCGGAACTACTACTACTACCACAACTCTCCTTCTTAAAAGGGATCATCGATCCGAAAGTTACTCAAAAATCTCTTCTTAGTAGTAGCCCTAACCACTCTCCACATTTTAAGGGACGTGGAAAACCAACACCTCGGATTACTCCCGAGATGCCTACCTCTTATGAAATCATTCTTTTATCTTGAATTAATATACTTCAAAATATTCCTCAATTTCTCAAACTGCCTCAAAATGTTTAAATAAAATATTTAATACCCAAGAGCATTTAGTTTCACTTCTCAAATATCACAGATCCAACAATCTCAAAATCTCGTACATATACATCATAACTCACATTAAAATCATGTATCACATAATACATATATAATACGAGGAAACGATTTTGGATCGGCAGAGAAACTTACCTCAAATTTGATGCTTCTAATTCTCCTCCTCTATTCTTGTCTCAAAATAATCACCTTTTTAATTAAGACGATACAATCAGTCACTTATTCTATTAAAAATTTATCTGATTTCCTTCTTTTGTTTTATTATTGGGATTTAGGTTATCTGTTAATTATCAATTAACCACTTTTATTAATCTTACCACTTTGCTTATAATTACTTCAATTGGTCCGAATTAAAATAGTCTGCATATCATACCTTAAATTTTATAAACAATCTGAATCATAATATAAGGTTAAATATTCGAACTTCTTTAATGATATTTTAATATTATTAAATTGGTCCAAGTTACATATTTGTCTAAATAATGATTTCACTCTATTTCATATAATTCATTCGGTGCTTAACATAACTCAAATCCACCTAATTATAATTTCGTAACTAATTTAATCATTGAATTGCACTTTGAATTTAACTGATTGAGATAATAACAATAATAATTAATTTGTTTAATATCAACAGTCCATTAGTTTTTCTATTATGAAATTATCTCAATCAAAAGTGACAAATTTATCCAAGTAATTACTACCAATCAAGCCAATTTCTTCATTAATATTTCTCATCTCGATTTTATCCATTTTGCAGATTATAATTATTATTATTATTATTATTATTGTTATTATTATTATTACTACTACTACTTAGGAGTCTTGGCCCAAAAATAAAAATGAAAACTCCTGGCCCAAACGGCCCAATCTTCTAAGAGAGAAAGAAAAAAAAAATGTGTACACTTCTTCTTCCTCGATCATGAACTCAAGAAAACGAGCTAGGCAGGGGAAAGGGGGTTACCTCGACGGATTCGTGATACGGTGGTGGTAGAAGGCTCGTTTGGGGACGGCGAAGGTCGGTGATGGGTTGGCGGCAGCGGCAGCTCCTCCTTCTTCTCCGTTTTCCATCTTTACGGTTAGCCCGACGGAACTCCGGCAAGCTCGTTCTCCGTCGTTTCACGATCGTTTTCAACGATTCTTTCACCGTTGGATTCCTCTCGAGAAGGGGAAGGTCTCTATAGTGTTTTCACGGCTCGGTTTTGTCTAAAACGAAGGGTCGAAATTTGTGTATATGTATATATATATGTATATACGTACAAGTAGTATATATATATACACGTATATGTATATATATATGTCGCAGGTTTGGGGATGAAGAGAGCTGAAGGCCTGTTCTTGCTTATTTATACTATGAGGTTGGAGGTTGTAGCTACGAACAATCCATGTGAGTTTAGGTTGGCAATAAGCTTGCTTCAACATATTCATGTGCGTGAATGTGTATTTCTTGTTCGCATACATTGGTCCATTGTGTGTAGGTGGGTTTTGGTCCCCTTCGGTCAACTCTTGTTTGATACAATGTACTCCCTCCCTCCCGCTATGATTGTCCCATTTTACCATTTCGGTCCGTCCCATTAAAATTGTCTCATACCTTTTTTTTTTTTTTTGTAAAGTTCGTGTGATTCTAAATCATTCCTACTTTATTCTTACTTTATCAATTCAGTATAAATTCATTTTTATTAATAACCGTGTCAACTTCTCTTGTCCCAAATTTAGGGGGACGGAGTAGTACTAGTATATGATTTAGCCCCAACATTTTCATGTGTGTACGTAGCATTATTTATATGATTATTTGTGTGTGTGTGTTACAATACATTTTGTACAAATAAATGACTCTTGCATTGAAATGACAATTTTATTATTTATGTTATATGTATAATTATTACTTGTTACAAAACTGTCACTTTTGCTATTTAAGTCGAGGTCTCGACATAATCATTATAAGATGTCACTTTTATTATTGAAACATTTTTTTATCTGGTTAAAGATGTCACTGATGCTAAGATTTTATCTGATTCACTTGATTATAAGAAAAATCACTTTCATAATATTTTGCTAACCAATAAAATTTATTTATTTTATTTTATTAAATTTTTCGAAGTGTCACATTGTCCATCCGTCTGCGGATGAAAAGCTGTGCTAAACTTCAGTTTAGTACCCAAAGATGCTTGAAACTTGGGCCAAAACCGAGATGTGAATCGTGGATCCCTATCCGAGACAATGGATATCGGGACTCCATGTAGTCTCACAATCTCCTCCGTGTATAGCTTTGCCAATCTTTCAAGAGGATAAGTAATGTTGATAGGCAAAAAGTGTGCACTCTTGGTGAGCCTATCAACCACTACCCATACTGCATCGTAGTTGTTCACTGTTCGTGGTAGCCCCAACACGAAGTCCATGGTCACATGTTCCCACTTCCATTCCGGAATGGTCAGTGGCTGCAAAAGCCCTGTCGGGTGCTGGTGCTCCGCCTTAACTTGCTGGCAAGTAAGGCATCGGCTCACGTACTCTGCGATATCCCTCTTCATACCCGACCACCAGTAACTTTCCTTCAAGTCTCGGTACATTTTAGTACCTCCTGGATGCATAGCATATGCCGAAGAATGAGCCTCCTCTAGTATAGACTTTTGGAGCTCCTCACTCTTTGGTATGCATACCCGGTCCTTAAACAGTAAAAGACCGTCATCACGTACTCGAAAGTTCTCCACGGGCCCTTCAAGGATCCTCTCCCGGATCTTCTGACATTCTTCATCAATGGCCTGACATCTACTGATCTCACCCAGCAATGTAGGTCTAACCTCGAATCTAGCAATGAGGACCCCACTCGTGGACACCTCCACTTGTGCCCTCAAAGTTCGTAGACATGTGAGTAATGTCCCCGACGTACCCTTCCTGCTCGATCAGTGCATCAGCCACTACATTGGCCTTTCCGGGATGATAGTCGATGATCAAGTCATAGTCCTTGATCAACTCCATCCATCTCCTTTGCCTCATATTCAACTCTTTCTGAGTGAATACGTACTTCAAGCTCTTATGATCGGTAAAAATGTGACATGTCTCCCCATAGAGGTAATGCCTCCAAATCTTCAGTGCAAACACTACCGCCCCCAACTCTAGATCGTGGGTAGGGTAGTTCGCCTCGTGTTTCTTCAATTGCCTAGACGCATAGGCAATCACCCGACCGTTTTGCATTAGTACGCATCCAAGCCCTTGGATGCTAGCATCACTGTATATGTCATACCCTATCCCTTGTGTGGGTAGAGCGAGAACCGGTGCTTCCGTAAGCCGTTTCTTTAGTTCGAGAAAGCCTTTCTCACAATTGTCGTCCCATATGAACTTGGCCCCTTTCTTCGTGAGCTTTGTTAATGGAGACGCCAATACGGAAATTTTTTCAACAAACTTACGATAGTATCCCGCTAAGTCAAGGAAACTACGTATCTCTTTCACATTTTTGGGTCTCTCCCAATTCATAATGGCTTCTATCTTGGCTTTATCCACCAAAATGCCCGAACTTGACACGACATGCCCGAGAAACCCAATCTCTTTGAGCCAGAACTCGCATTTAGAGAACTTGGCAAAGAGTTGTTTTTCCCTTAGCCGTTCAAGTACAAGACTCAAATGATCTTCATGCTCCTCTTCACTCTTGGAGTATATCAAAATGTCGTCAATGAATACTATCACAAATTGGTCTAAATATTCACTGAACACACGGTTCATCATGTCCATGAATGCCGCCGGGGCGTTGGTTAGACCAAACGACATCACCAAAAACTCGTAGTGACCATATCTAGTGCGAAATGCACTCTTAGGTATGTCACTCGCCTTTATCTTCAACTGATGATACCCCGACCTTAAATCAATCTTCGAGAATACCGTTGCCCCTCGAAGTTGATCGAACAAGTCATCAATCCTCGGTAAAGGATACCTGTTCTTGATTGTGACCTTGTTTAGCTGTCGATAGTCTATACACATTCTTAGTGTACCATCTTTCTTCTTTACGAAGAGTACGGGTGCTCCCCACGGTGAATGACTGGGTCTAATGAACCCGTTGTCCAATAGCTCTTGGAGTTGAACCTTCAACTCTTGAAGCTCGGCCGGTGCCATTCGATAAGGAGGAATCGAAATGGGTTTGGTTCCCGGCTCCACTTCAATCACGAATTCGATCTCTCTGTCGGGTGGAAGCCCCGGCAAGTCTTTGGGAAAGACATCCGGATATTTGCACACGACACGTACATCGTTGATGTCAACCTCCTTCTTTGCTTCATCCACCACATAAGCGAGGTATGCATGGCATCCCTTCCTCATCATCTTCCGTGCCCTCATCACGGACATTATACAACTATGAGATCCGCCCCGATCTCCCTCGAAACGTAGAGTGTTTCCCTCAGCATCCTCGAGTTCCAAAACCTTGGCATAACAATCCACTCGAGCATGATGTTTCTCGAGCCAATCCATCCCTAGTATTGCATCGAATTCTAACATACTTAGAGGTACGAAGTTGATAACCGCTTTCGCGGTGTTGTAGTAAAACGGAGTTTAACCCTTCCGGATGGAAAAGTTTATCCCCGAGTATCGTGTCTCTGAGGAGTGGCGGAGGGAAGTATTGGTTTCAATATCAGTCACCGGTTAGTACGAGTCGTTGCAAGCTTTCTCAAACGATTAATTGTGATAATGATTAAGAAAATAAAATTAAACAACAAAAGTAGTAACTGAGAATTTAATTAAATTACATTAATGAGTAAACTAAAACTAGTGAACATGCAAAATAACTCGAGAGAGAAAATTAACGAATAAAAATATTAAACTAACAAACATATGGATGAGTAAAGTTTCGAAAATAAAATATTAGAAGTAAATTCAATGTGACTAGTGACAATAAATTAACTAATTAAAAGTGGGGTCTAGATTTGGGATTAAGAATTTTGGTTGTCTTTTATAATGAATAAAAAATGGGAAATTTTCACCAATCTAGAGATACTAAAATATCAATTCTCATAGACAAGAAATTAATATTAATTCCCTAACATGTCCTATTTCTAGGCTTAGTTTAGGGTGTGTGAGATGTGGTCTAAAATTAATTCTTAAACTCATGGACAAGAAAGAGTTAATTTTCTAAAATTAACAAGTGAAGTGATCAATTTCACAAATTACTTTTTCAATTTCATCTCAAACAACTAGTCCTAAAGTTGGAGACTTTTCCCAAATTCAATTCAATATCCAAGAACACCCATTAGCCTTAATTTAACCAAATCCAAACCCCATGGAAATTTAGCCTAACATGATTATCAAGAAACTAAGACAATTAATTAAAGAGCTAGAGTAATTTGTAGATGAAATTAAACAGTAAATAAACATCATTAACAACTCAAATATCCAAATAAACAGAAATTCGGAGTTTGAAATAATACAGGGATAAAAACTTGAAGCTTATTGAAGTTTATATCTAAAGACAAATCAAGCATAGAACATTTAGGACTGAAATTGAATACAAATTATAGAAACCATAACTTCTTAGCAGTTGATATCTCACATTAACCTCCGATTGCATCTGATATCTGCTGCGTTTTTCTGGAGTTCTTGCCGCTGAGTGAAACTCCCTTGCGGCTGAGAGCTGAGGGTCTGGACTGAATTGTTCGCATCTCTGTCCAGAGCTACTTGCGGCTACCCAGGCTGAGTGATTGCAGTTGGTTGCCTATCTAGTCCTGCTCTCTTTTCTTTCCTTGAAGCTGCCCTTTTTGTTCTTTTCTTTGATAGTCCAAAAGATGGGACTCCACACGACCACACCCTCCTGTTGTTTTGTTGGCAACTCTCCATCTTATCTCATTTTCTTTTCTTTTCTTTTTGTTTCTTTTTCATTTTCTTTAATTTTTTTGTTTGTTTTCTTTTTCTTCACGCAGCGTAGCTGCAGTTTTTTTTCTTTTGATTAATTAATGTGCCTCATTTGCTCATTTGTTTATTGCATTAATAATAAAAGAGCATTGAAAAACAAAATTTGACAAACTACAAAATATAAATCACACAAGTGAAAAACAAACACAAAAACAACCCAAACACTTCAACTAAGCACAAATCACTAAAAATGTAAATTTCATCGCTAATTTCAAACATTAACAAAAATGCAATAAAAATGCAGAAAAATGTTTCAATTTGCCCTGAGTTTAACAAGAAACACTATAAAAAGTGAGTGAAAATATATGAACAAATCACACTTATCAGAAGTCACAAGTCAAAGGTTGACCCGTCACTTCTACCTCACACGAAGGATAGTAGTGTTTCCTCTCCACATCGTCTCCCAACGGTGTAGAGACCAACAAGGGTTGTGTCATTACTATCAACGGCAAGTCTAAACTTTCGGCAAACGCTTCACTCACGAATGAACGTTGTGCCCCGGTATCAATGAGAATTCTTGCGTTTCTACCATTGATCTTTAATGTTCCTACATATATAAGTCATGTAAGACACACCACCCAACGTACCGGATCGAAACGGGGCTTAACAAAAACATTTCGGGTGAAAATACACTGGACCGGCGCCAGTTTTAGGCAAGACCGGCGCCGGTTTGCCTTCGGGGTGGCCGGATTCACGCAAATTAAACTGGACCGGCGCCGGTTATGGCCAAAACCGGCGCCGGTTGACCTTCGGTCACCTTCGAAAAAAGTTTTTTTTTCTCCAAAACCGGCCCCGGTTACGAGCACGGTGATTTTTCCGACCCCCTTTTCCCCTAGACCGGCGCCGGTTATGGGCAAAACCGGCGCCGGTTTTGTAATACCCGAGATTAATATAAGAGGATTAATAGTACTACTCATACCAACAGAGGTGCATCTCCTTTTAAGGGAGCTCATCACCCAAGAACTCCAAAGTTAAGCGTGCTTGCACGGGAGTAGTCTTGGGATGGGTGACCCCCTGGGAAGTTTCTCAGGGCGCGCATGAGTGAGGACAAAGTGCGTGGTAAAGGCTCGTGGTGGTTTGTGAGGACAGTACTATTGGTCCGGAGTAACTACCTCAGGTCCGGTGGGGCCGGGGTGTTACAGGTGGTATCAGAGCAACCCTGCGACAGTGTGCTGACCCGTTGGATATCGGGCGGGCACTTAGCGGGGGAAGATTCTGTGATTTGATTGAGATTTGAGAATGGTTTAAGGGCACAACGAGGACGTTGCGATCCTAAGTGGGGGTGATTGTAACACTTGAGATTAATTTAAAAGGATTAATAGTACTACTCATACCAACAAGGTGCATCTCCTTTTAAGGGAGCTCATCCGCTAAGAACTCCAAAGTTAAGCGTGCTTGCACGGGAGTAGTCTTGGGATGGGTGACCCCCTGGGAAGTTTCTCAGGGCGCGCACGAGTGAGGACAAAGTGTGTGTAAAAGGCTAGTGGCGGTTTGTGAGGACAGTACTATTGGTCCGGAGTAACTACCTCGGGTCCTGCGGGGCCGGGGTGTTACAGGTGGTATCAGAGAAACCCTGCGACAGTGTACTGATCCGTTGGATATCGGGCAGACACTTAGCAGGGGAAAAGATTCTGGGATTTGATTGAGATTGGTTTAATGGCGCAACGAGGACGTTGCGATCCTAAGTGGGGGTGATTGTAATACCCGAGATTAATATAAGAGGATTAATAGTACTACTCATACCAACAGAGGTGCATCTCCTTTTAAGGGAGCTCATCACCCAAGAACTCCAAAGTTAAGCGTGCTTGCACGGGAGTAGTCTTGGGATGGGTGACCCCCTGGGAAGTTTCTCAGGGCGCGCATGAGTGAGGACAAAGTGCGTGGTAAAGGCTCGTGGTGGTTTGTGAGGACAGTACTATTGGTCCGGAGTAACTACCTCAGGTCCGGTGGGGCCGGGGTGTTACAGGTTTTGCTACGGCGTCCCCGGAAAATGAAATTTTTATAAGCCAAGTCCCCCCGACCCTTGGCCGGCGCCGGTTATGGGCCAAAACCGGCGCCGGTTGACCCACGGCAACCTCAAAACAAAGGTTTTTAATTAGAACCGGCGCCGGTTTAAGCCTCGACCAGCGCCGGTTTACCCCTGGGCAGTTAATTTTTGCAACTTTTTGCTAGGAAACCGGCCGGTATCGGCCCCGGCCAGCCCGTACAAACCCGCTATCACTTTTAGCACTCAATACATGTAATTTATCAATCGTCACAAAGGGTTACCTGCAACGGAGTCGGGATCAGCCCGAGCGTCAGCCTCGGTCATCGCATAGACTCTAGCTTGAGTCCTCCCTTGATTTACGGACGGCGCGTTGCTCGTGCTCGCTCCCCCTTGCCCCGCACTAGCATGGGGTGCCCCGGTTCGGCTCCTACTCGCCGTGGTGGCGCCGCTTGATCCCGCCCCTCGGTTCCCACCAAGTTGAGGGCAATTTGGTTTAATATGCCCTGTACTCCCGCATTGGAAGCACCGTGGTGGATCACGACACTTACCGGCGTGGCTCCTGTTGCAATTCCTGCACCTGGGCGTCGTTGAGGCTTGTGAGCCCGAGTTGTGCCCGCTGAAGGCCGGGTTCCCCTTGGATGGCGGTGCCGGTGCTCTGAACGATCCACCTCCCCCATGGTTCCCCTTTTTGTTAGAACCTTGGGGGCCATGGTTCTCCCACTTCCTCTTCTTCGCCTCATCGGCGTCTCTCTTCTTTCTCTCTTCCCATTGCTTCTCTCCTTTCAACCCTTGGGCAACCACTTGGCTGAAAGTCATGTTGGGCAATTGAGTCGCCCTATCACGTATCTCCAAGTCCAAGGCCTCCCAAAAGTGATTCACCATTCGGTTTTCATCACAAGCATACTCCGGTATGTGGTCGGCAAGGTCCCTGAACTTGTGCTCAAGTTCTTTCACCGTCATGTTACCCCCTTGGGTTAGAAGAGTGTATTCTCTCACCTTGGCATTTACCTCAAAGTCTGAGTAGTATTGGGCAAAGAATTCTTGCCGAAAATCCTCCCAAGTAACATTCCCTCCATACTTGCCCTTGGTTCCATCCCACCACTTGGATGCCAACCCTTCAAGTAACCTCACCGCGATTCTCAGTTTGAAATCGGGGGTGAGTTGCATGTCAAGGGCTGCCTCGTTCAGCCTCTTGATCCATTGCGCGGCCACCGAGATGTCCCCCGTTCCATCGAACGGTTTGCACCCCAAGTCCCTCGCCTCTTTGATGTATTTGGAGATCCTTATGGTTGGACCTCCATCACCTCGACTCCCATGCGCTTCCACATGGGTTCTTGAATCACAATAGCTCTTTCCTCTTGGAGCCCCACCCGAAGGTTGCCCCGCACGGCGCCTCCGGCGTTCCCTTCTTTCTTCGCGCTCCCGATGGTATTGTTGGAGCAGCGCTTCAATCCTAGCCAAGGAGCCATTTTCCTCCTCGTCACTAATATCGTCGTCATCCCCTTCATAAGGGGTCTCAACCGGCTCAGTTTCCGGCCGGTAGGTTGAGTCCTCATAAGACCAATAGGTCTCACTCTCCGTGTCAACGTGGCCATCGCTCACGGTTTGATGTTGGCCTCCACGGCCCCTTCCTCTTGATCCCCTAGTGGACCCCCGGCTACCGCGCTCGGATCCACCCGGTACACGGCCCGTCGGGTTCCTCCTAGTGACCCTTCCGATTGACTCCATTTCTGAAAGGAAGTAGAATGAGTCATTAGACTCGTATCAATGTCAAGTGACGGATAGGTACTTAAAGACATCCTTTGGCTCAAATCACCGCCATACCAATTGTTAAGGGTACCATCTTAACAATTAGAGACTTTGCAACTCAAGTACCAAAAGTTCTATAAGTACAAAACTTTTATGCTCATGGTTTTCAAATTCGTTTTCAAAAGAGATTTTGAAGCTTCATTATGAAGTTTACGGACTAAGTCTCTGATACCAATTAAATTGTCACGCCCCGGACCTATCCGGACACGTCAACAATCCGCCATACAGTACGAATGGTCAACCGCAGTCCAACACATCCATATTATACAAGGCGTCTGGAATATCATTCACACATAGTACATCCATAAACAACATAATGTAAAATATTCACTTAAAACAACGGAAGCATTCAATACAAGTGTGCATGCCACACTTTGGCAACATGGGCTTACAAGCCCTAAATAAATATTTAAAAAAAATAATATCCATGAGCATTATTCAAAATGTTTTCAAAACAGGAACGGAAGAAGCACGAACCACGTCTCCCTCCTTTGATCTTCCCGAAGCAACGGGCGGTGGTAGCAACCTTCAAGTTCTACCTGAAACTGTGAGGTGGCCTCCCCCGTGAAGGGGAGGTCAGTACTTGGAAGCATTTGACAAGTACAATGACAACTATACTAAGTATAATCAAAGTTTCAATTTCCAAGACCCTAAGTCTAGGGTGCTATTATTTATATTAAATTCACGTTCCTTCATGCTAGAGCTCGGCTCATAGTCATCCTAATTTGTGCTAGAGCTCGGCTCATAGTCACGCTACATTTTGCTAGAGCTCGGCTCATAGTCATACTAATTTGTGCTAGAGCTCGGCTCATAGTCACACTACATTTTGCTAGAGCTCGGCTCATAGTCATACTACATTTCGCTAGAGCTCGGCTCATAGTCATACTACCACGTGCTAGAGCTCGGCTCATAGTCACGTCATCTAATCCCTAAACCGCTTCTTAGTCTAGGCTCCATCCATTTTGAGTAACCCTTAAGGCCTACTCCTAATGTAACTTGACTTCATAAAGTCCACCTTAAAAATATCCTTTAAGGTTATTTGACTCCAATATCTTGGGATTAGCTCCCAAGAACTATTGAACTTACCTTCCCGACTAGTATTTCCATACTAGTTGTTTAATCTTAATAAACCAATGCAATTTCATAATAATTCGTATATTTCAACTAAATTTCACATTCAAGTATAATTTGGCTTTAATATCAAAATATCACTTTTATCCTTCCATGACTTCCTTACATGAGATAAAAGTATATTTATCACAATTTAAATTTATAGTTTACACACTATTATACCATTGTATTCATAACACATAATCATACACAATTTATTCATAAATTTGTATATTATGCATTTTTGCTTATAATCAATAATAATCTCATTTAGGCATTTTTCTATTATAAATAAATCATGCCGAACACATATAATTCATTTAGGTAATCTTATGAAATTAACCCAATAATTATAAGCAATATAGTCGGTCATCCTCACCTTAAGTGAGCTTAAGCGCGATCTACGCTCCCCCGGTTGAACTTTGACTAATTTCCGGTGAACTTTGACCAACTCCGGCGAACGTTGACCAACTCCGGCGAAACTCCGGCGAAGCTCAAAAATACTTTAATCAAGTTCCTAACAAGGTTTTAACATCATAAAACCTTAATCAATACAAATAACCTATAAAAGGTTATTTTCCGGTGAACTTGTCGGTTTGGCCCCTAAGTCCGTTTTTGGACATAGAACCACCTTCCAACCCATCATTCTACACTTAAGTCATGTAGAACAATCCCCAAGGTTCTTCATATGATATACATCACATATGGTAGGAGAAAAATAAAGGAAAAGTTATGATAAGGCCATTACCTCAACTTTTCTCACTTTTTCCTAGCTTTTTCCTTCTCAAACACCTTCTTTGGACTACCTCCTTCTTGAGCTCGTGCAGCAGCAATGGAGTATGGCTTGAGGACTTTCTCTCCCTCCTCTCTTGATGGGTTGGCCGAAATAATGCAAAGGGAAAGAGGTGGGGGTGTTCCTTTGTCTCTTTTGGCAAATGAGTGAGGTCAAAGGCCCCCTTTGCACCTCCTCCACTTATTTCCTTGTCAACCCAGCCCTCCCCTTGTCTAATTCAACACATAAAACGTGGGGTGGCCCCCACTCATGTGGGAGGTCATCCCCTTGTGTCCTGATGTGTACAATTGGTCCCGAAAGTTGTATTTTTCGGACTGTTTTAAAATACATTTTATTTCATCGGGTCAAATAAAATACATTACGTGTTTCCAATAATTATGACCCTTATAATGAATATACATTCCCAAACTTTAATTTATAAGTCCCCGAAATTCAATTTCGGGCTTTTATCGGTTAAATTATCAATACCGATATTTGGGCCTCTTTGGCCAATCGGTCAATTCGGGGCCTTTCCACGGACCAAATGAAGTATCCACCACCATCTAAATGTTATCTAGACCAAGATGAATAAAATATGGGGTCTCGGGAATATCGGGCGGTCCCCGCTCTCGGTGTGGGCCCCACGTGCGAATTCACTATTCACGCAAGAGAATAATTGAAATTCACCACTTCGAATATTCATTAACCACTCCATAAGGTTAAATACATTATTCACTTAAAAGTAAAATACATCTGGGGACGGTGTTACACCAGACATCCCACAAGACCGAGGATTGCACCACCCTGAAGAGGCACATCGACGGCCTCGTCCGGCAGGGGGAACTTTCCCAATTTGTCAAGGGTGCCCCCAAGAGTAACACTTGGGTTAACCCTGGCAAAAGGGGGGAAGGGTCCTCCGGAAAAAAGAGGGAGATCGGCGCCCTCAGTGAAGATGAAGACGAAGAAGAGCCCCGCCAGAAGAAGCATCACATTCACATCATCATCGGCGGGAACACAGGGGGGGACTCGGCTACCCAACGGAAAAAATGGGCTCAGTCCCTATACGTTGGTGAGGTGTCCCACGCCCCCCCTCAGCCGAAGCGACGGCATATGGAGGCCATCACCTTCACCGACAAGGACCTCCCCTTCGGACCCTTGCCCCACAGGGACGCCCTCGTCGTCAAATGCGAGATTGGCAACAACATCATCCACCGCAACTACATCGACACTGGCAGCTCTGTCAACGTGATGTACGTTGACACCTTCAGACAACTGAAACTGAAGAAGACCGAGCTCCGATCGATACGGACTCCGTTATCCGGCTTCACCGGGGACTCTATCGACGCCGAGGGCACGATAGTGCTTCCCGTTGTGGTCGGTGACGGTACCTGTCAGGCGAAGATTGACATGGAGTTCGTGGTCGTCAATCTGGACAGCGCCCACAACATGATCTGGGGCCGCCCGGCCTTGGAGGACCTTGAGGCCATCATCTCCATGAAACATCTATGCCTCAAGTTCCCCACCAAGGACGGCGTCGGCTACGCCAGAGGAAACCAGAAGATAGCCAGGGCTTGCTACCTGAAACTCACAAGGAAGATCAATGAGGCCGAGGAGCGGATAGACACTATCACCACCGCCTCGGCCGAAGAAGACACACCAAAGGCCGAACCGGTCGGAGACGTGGAAGATGTTCCGTTGGACGTCTCCCGGCCGGAACGCATGCTGAAGATTGGGACACAGCTCCCCCAACAAATCAGAAGGGACATCCTATCCGTCTTGAGAGCGTATGCCGTCGTCTTCGCATGGGGACCAGAGGACATGCCGGGCATCAGCCCAAAGGTAATCACACATCGGCTATCGGTGAACCCGGCCTCCTCCCCCATCAAACAAAAGAAACGCTACCTCTCGGCTGACAGGAGGGAATTCGTCAAGGCCGAAGTGGCCATGGTGCTCTCCATCAAGCACATAAAAGAGGTGAAGTACCCCACGTGGTTGGCAAACGTCGTCCTCGCACCGAAGCCGCCCACGTTCAGAATGTGTGTTGATTACACTGACCTGAACAAGGCGTGTCCGATGGACCCATTTCCTCTCCCCAACATTGATCAGTTGGTGGACGAGACAGCGGGGTGCGAGTTGATGTCGTTCCTCGACGCGTTCAGAGGGTACCACCAGATATCCATGCATGAGGATGACGCGGAGAAGACTGCTTTCATGACCCCGGAGGGAATCTTTTGCTACCTCGTCATGGCCTTCGGGCTCAAAAACTCCGGCGCCACTTATACAAGGATGGTAGCCCGGATTTTTAGAGCAGTCTTAGGCCGGACGATGGAAGCATACGTCGATGATATGATCGTCAAGAGCAAACAATCCACAACCCATGCCGACGACCTCCGGGGCATCTTCGACATCATGAAGAAGTACAACCTCCGGCTCAACCCGAAGAAGTGCACCTTCGGCGTCCAGGGAGGTAAATTCCTGGGGTACCTGGTCAGCTGAAGGGGCATCGAAGTAAACCCGGAGAAGATACAAGCCATTATCAACATGGAGCCGCCCCGCAACATCAAAGAAGTGCAACGGCTGACGGGACGCCTTGCGGCCCTGAACCGTTTCCTTTCAAAGTCCGCGGAAAAATCGCTCCCCTTCTTCCAGATAATGAGGAAGGCCACCAGTTTCAAATGGACGACGGAGTGCCAACAAGCCTTTGAAGAGCTGAAGCAATATCTCGCCTCCCCGCCCATCCTATCCAAGCCCCAACCCGGCGAGACTCTCTTCCTCTACTTGGGAGTGAGCACGTCGGCCGTGAGCTCTGTACTCATCAGGGAAGAGGACGGAGTACAAAAGGCAATATTCTACGTCAACAAGACGTTGCGGGAGGCCGAGCTCAGGTACTCCCCCATTGAGAAGACGGTGCTGGCCATCGTCCACACGGTGAAGAAGCTGGGGCACTATTTCCAGGCTCACCCCGTCCATGTCCTCACGCATCAGCCGTTGGGCGCCCTCATGAGGAGCCCAACAAGCTCCCCAAGGATGATCAAGTGGGCAATATTCTTGAGCCAGTACCAAATTGAGATCAAGCCGAGGCCATCTATCAAAGGGCAAGCCTTGGCTGACTTTGTCACCGAGTGCACGGCAAGGGAGACGGCCGTTACCACCACAGGAGTTGAACCAGATGAAGCCTGGACCCTCTAC